CCGGCGGGCAGGGGCGGGGGTGTAGGCCCCCCAAAGGAGGAGTGGGGAGAAGTACCCGAGGAAATGGGAGGCGTGGGACAGGGAGGCGAGAGGGCGAAAGGGAAGGGACCGGAAGGGGCACTTCAGCGTGTGGTCGAGTCTCGGGCCACACAACTTAAGAGTTTCTTAGAGCGGCCCAGACTGTCGCTTGACGTGACGGGGCTTTCCCGTCCAAAGTGCGTGACCGCCGGATCCCGGGCTTTTCTGATGGCGCCTTCCTGGGGTCGTGCTCGGCACTTGGGCAAGGCAGTGTTTGTGTGCCCGGGAAATGTGGAAGTGGCCCAATGAGAGAGCTCGTTTCCAGGCCACCTGTAGCTCGGCCAGGCGACCGGGAAGGCGCGCCTTCCCGAGGCTGCAGACTCCCGGGGCTGGAGAAGGCGGAAGCTGAAGGCCGGGCTTGGGCTTTTTGTCGGACGTTAGGGAAGCGGTCCCCGGAGCGTGGCGGGACGGCGGCCTCGGCGGCCCCGGAGCGCGATTCAGCCTCTCTGGAGGCGGCCCCAGCTGACTGTCCACCGCCCTCCTGTTGACTCTGATGCCGCCTGCAGTTTGAGAACCGTTGCATCATAGAATTAAAAGGCGACAGATTCTCACCGGTTTTTTTTTTTTTTTGCGTGGAATCGTGCGGATCTAAACTAGCATTTGCCTTTTCTCAGTTGAATGTATGTAGGGAAAAGTTTGAAGATTTTTTTTTTTTCCTTTTTTGTCTTTTTTACTGACCGGTAACGGGATCGCAACCCTCGGTGTTGTGCCCGCACCGCGCTCAGCCAGTGAGCAGGAACCGGTCTCCACATGGGATCCGAACCCTCGGCGGGAGCGCCGCCCTCTCCAGTGCGCCACCGGCCAGCCCAAAAGTTTGAAGATTTTATAATGCTAGTTTTCTCAGAATGTCAAGAAACTGTGTAGGTACATCTTTTCTAACTAGTCAAGATTTGAATACAAATACTCTAAAAACCGATATGATTGGCACGATACATGTCACTTTTTTTTTACTTTATGTTTTGGGGTAATGACATTACTCTCCATGGGTACAAAAGTGATGAGCATGTCTCAGTTTCAGTTCTGCTAGGGCATTTCAGGAAGGTACAACACTGTAAACCCTAAGAATCATTTATATCTAAAATTATATGTGGACCACACTTGCATCTGGTTAAAAATATGAATGCAATGGACAAGCACCAAGAGACCAAATAAAAACGAAATAATTCCTAAAGTTCTGAAAGTATGAACATCGTTTTCCTCTTTTCCAAATTTTAAAGATTCATCATTGTCACTTGTGACCCAAGAGACCTTTGGGCCTGTCAATATAATCTGAGAAAAGTGCATTTTGACTGCAAGTGATACAGGACCCAAGTCCGGCTGCCTGCCCCCTTTCAAAAGCAAACCACTCAAAAATCAAATGTTAGTGAAAGTGAAAGTCACCTTTTATTCTGGAACACCAGTGACCTGAGAAGAGTTGTTAGGCTAATCCATCTCTCCGGTAAATCTGGAGGTGAATGGCCAGACTAAAGCCATCTCAAGGACTCAGATTTACTGAAGGGTTTTGAAAGAGGAGGTTGAGGGAATGGAACATGAGAAATGAAAAGCAGGGGATGTGAGCTGTGGGGGCTCCGTGCAAGGACCCAGGTACAAGGCCTCACCAAGGCTCCAGCTTGTTTCTGTTCCCATTTTTGCTGTCATCTCAGGGTCTTGCTGGAGGGATGGAATCACCATAGCTTTACTGATGTCTTCCTTGGTTTCTCAGGGTCTGAGTAGTACCTGCCTTGTAGTAAGTCTGCAGCTTCAGGCTGGCAGGAAAACAGTTTTACATTTATGTGAATAATGTCATTGTGCCTCATAACCAAGATATCAAATAACTGTGGGAAAAGAGGGAACGCAGAGAAATGCATGCTAAGAAAAAAAAAACTGTGTCCTTTTAATATCTTTTAGACCCTACGTGGTTTTAGGTCCCAACATGCTTTTCAGTCCAGCTCACTACAACACAAGCTTAAAATACACCACACTGTGGACTCTCAGTGATTTCTTCATTTCAGTTCTCCCTTCTTAAGCCTTCATTTCACTTTTGCAAAGTCCAGATCAAAACTCAGAATTCCATGGGTTAAATGAATGCTGAGCAGCTAGAAGGAGAATTTCATTACTTGGAATGTATATATGGGAAGCTGAAGCCATTTGATATTTCTTTCAGCGTTTTATTGTGAAACCTTTTTAAATGCACAGAAAATGTGAAAGGATGTTACAGTGGTCCCCTTACTAGGTAGGTGTTGTCTAGTAGGATTTTGTGCAGTAAAGGTTAATATGTCTGCTGTCTGTATTACAGTAGCTACTAGATTACTCTTTGTGGCCACTGAGCACTTGAAATGTGACCAGTTCAAGGGAGGAATTAAAAATTTTTTTATTTAATTTTAATTAACTTAAATAGCCACATGTGATTAGCGGGTACCATATTGAACAGTGCAGACCTACACTACCATTAATGTTTTACTATTCTTGCTTTATCGTGTATCTGTTCATCTGTCCATCCTTGTATCCAGCATGATACAAATTTAAGAAAACTGAAGTTAGGAGCTCTGATTTATGAGCATTTTTTTGTTTTTGTTTTTACGTGTGCAGTTGTCAAGTTAAGATTACACAAGATTGCAAAATAGTAAGTTTTCATAGTACATTGATCTAATATTAAAATAAGTTCATCAAAGAGAGGCATTCAGAGGACATTTATTTTCTTGTACTGTTTTCTTGTATGTGTAGCTGTATATTCCATATATTTCCCTCAGACTTACTTATTTTAAACCAGGTGTCTATTACCTTTGTCCTTAGGAAGCCAGTTGTGTCCCAAATGGGCATCCTATGAATAAAGGAATTAGAGGGAAGAATTGAAAATGGGTGGGGAGGAACTTTTCAGCTTTGCCACCCACTTTATAAGTGTATATAACGTGGGCTCACAAGCCTAAACTTCCAGTTCAATCAGAGGTTTCAGAAAGAACGAGAAATATGACCTTGTTCCAAACTCTGGCTCAGGAGGCAATTAGGAAGGGGATTCCCTCCTGCAATGAAATCATTCTGAAGGACCAAAAACTTTAATTGAACGTGGGTCTCTGGAAAGTACACTATGCTTGTTTTGTTCATTGTCTTTTACAAACCCTGTATTCTACTAGGCAAATGGTATGTGTAAGTGCAGTAAACAGTATAGTATATCTTCACTGCTGTAAAAGGCAGAAGTTATAAAATGGTTTCTTAGAACAGCATCATTGGAGGCTTATTTCTGGGCTGTTAGAAGAACAGTGGTCTACAGTTAGCAGATACTCTAGTTTGAGAAGAGGAACTTTTGACTGGAATTTGAACACAAAACAATATAGCTATCAACTTGATGGCTTATTGAATGCTGGTTTATTTTAGAAGTACTGTTGGTTCTAACCCAAACTTAATCTAGATCACGGTGGGCCAGGAGAAAGCCTGGCTGGTTCTGAGGGATCACTAGTCGGAAAGCTTCAAGGCTTCTAGGGAAGTTGGGAAGGGCACCAACGTCAACCTAAATGTATGTTGTGGGCCTTATGTGGTATGAATCCTGTTCCACAAGTTGTCCCTGGAATCAGATAAGCCTCACGGAATCACCTCAGTCTTATTTTTTCATTTGTTGGAAATTATATATAAAGTATTGGGGATACTCACAGTGCTGAGAAATGTACTTGGATATTATTTTTAATATTTATAAATAATTTTCCAGTTTTCAAAGTTAAAAATACAACCCCAATGAAAATGTATTTGAGAGGAGTATTGTTTTTATTCTAGGATAGTATGTCTGTCTGTGAATCAGCTTAAGAAAGAATTTGATTTACAGGTAACAGATTATAGTTCCTGTGGTCAGTGGTGAATACTTCTTAAAACAGTGTATTCTTCTCTACAGAAAGCATGTCATCAGTATACCTAAATATTTGGGTAGACTGTTTTTGATCATACCTTGAGAGGCAATAAAACTGTGCGTTGTAGATACTTTTCCAAGAGACGCTCTCTAGAAAGGTAACAGCAACTTTGTTTATAAAAGCAAAAATTGGAAACAACTCGGATGTCCATGGGTTGTAGAATGAATGAGTAAATTGGTAATTATAGGATGGAATGGTACACAGTACTGTAAATAAGTGACTACAGTTGCGTCATCAATTTTAAGTAAAAGAAACAAGTTCCAGAAGAATACATACAATATTATTCCACTTACATAAAAAGCTCAGAAGCAGATAAAACTAAGCAATATATTGTTTGGAGAGAGCTACACAAGTAGTAAAACTATAAAGGAAAGCAAGAAACGATGAATATGGAAGTCAGTAATGAGTGGCTTGTGGGGCTTTCTAAGGTATGGTAATATTCCAGCTTTTTTTTTTTTTTTTTTTTTTTTAAAGATGACCGGTAAGGGGATC